AAATATATCAGGCAAAATTATGAGCTATTTGGCAATATTAAGAAAGTCGATGCAAACAAGGTTATCTGGTAGTTTATCTACTGAATTATTAGCGGTTGTAACAGGGTGCGCTCATTATTTGAAATTACTTATCAGAATTGGACTTAATAATGCTTTGAAAGTTAACAAATTACAAGGAACTACTGATGCAACAGATAAATTCCTTAGCTTAATGAAAATATATGAAGAATTTAATAGCAGCAGTGACAACAAAGTTAATCGCGAATTAATAAAAAGCAGATTGTCAATTCCAACCAATGCTACTGATTCATGTCAAAGTTGTGTGAAAAGTATTGAAAAGTCTTGTATCAAACTTGATAATAAAAGATGGCATACGAAATGTTTTATCTGTTATAACTGCTCCAAACCAATAGCATCAGTTCGTGCTACAATTTCGCAACTGGCATATAATATATCAAACAGTCAGGTGTATTGTCCCGAGTGCTTTAATAGAAATGACAAGACTTTCATACTAGGGTTTGAATTAGTAAGTGACTTATCACAGTTGGTTTATTTGTTGAAAATAGCTTTGTATCGCTCAAAGTCTGTCATGAAGGTTGAAAACAAGGGTGTATCACAGGTCAGACAAGCTTCTTTGAAGCTGAAAAATATGTCGATTATTGATGAAGAAAGCACTGCAAGAAATGCGACGGCGGACGACTATTCGAAAACATTAAATGATGTTACTCGGTTAAGGGCCAGTAGGCAAAGCCAAAAGCTTTCTAATTCTATTAAGCAGAATGCAAGGAAGTCCGTTATATTGGAAGCTCCTGAGGCTGACAAGGCTAAGCGAGACGAAACTAATGAAGAAGGAATGGTTGATGACTTTGGGGGCAGCAACGAAGATATAATCAATAAACCCAATGAAACAGAAAGGAAAGCAAGTATATCATCACAATTGTCGTATATACAACAGCCAGAAAATGACCAATTCAATATATCATCGAGACGGAGCAAGAAATCATTAAGAATTAGGGATGAACCTCAAAAACAAACAACGAATAATAATCTTGATCGTACGTCTGACCTTTTACAAAATGAAAAATCGTTAACATTGGATGATATTCCACGTATCGTGGCAGCTGAACAAGCTAGAGAACAACGTCCAAACGCATTTAAACATCATAATTCATTGTATCAAAAGCACGCCCCAATGGAATCAGTGAGAACGATACCTGCGGCCAGTACCAGTAATGCGAGTAACCGTAACAGAAATAGCAGCAAAAGCAATAATATTGTTGATAATACGGGTAATGATGTTCCTGCTGCAGATTATGAAATCTCTTCTCAGAGTTTGAAATATTATTCTGAATTGGATAAATCAGAGCACTTCATTTTAAGACATATTGCGGTTGAAGCATTAATTCAAATTCTGAACTATAATAAGGATGAATTACTAGGATTGATCCAAACTCGGAAATTACCAACTTTTTGGGATAAATTTAAGTTTGGTGGCACGAGTGATCCGAAGAAGGATAAACATTTAAACGTTTTTGGTGTTGATATTCAAGATTTAACAAAAAGATACGGAGTTGATTCTGATCTAGGTGTTGGTCCTTCCAAATTGCGCATACCTATAGTGGTTGATGAGATTATTATTGCGTTACGCCAGAAGGATATGTCAGTAGAAGGTATTTTCAGGTTAAATGGTAACATTAAAAAGTTGAGAGAATTGACGGACCAAATCAATAAGAATCCTCTTAAATCGGCTGATTTCAGTTCGCAGACCGCTGTTCAATTAGCTGCATTGATGAAAAAATGGCTACGTGAATTACCAAATCCGTTATTGACTTTCAATCTATATGACTTATGGATTTCGTCACAACAACAAAAAGATCCGTCACTTTGTAAAAGAATTTTACAATTAGCTTATTGTATGTTACCAAGAAGTCACCGTAATTTGCTTGAAGTTTTGCTTTATTTTTTTAGCTGGGTCGCATCGTTTGCAGAAATCGATGAGGAAACTGGATCAAAAATGGATATTCATAACTTAGCTACTGTGATATCACCTAACATTCTCATTTCAAAGAAGGCCTCTCAATCTGATCAATCGCCTCCTCAAACAGGAGATAATTATTTCATAGGTATTGAGGTGGTTAATCAATTAATTGAATTACATGAAGAGCTTTGTATTATCCCGGACGATTTATTATTATTCTTTGAAAAATGCAAATTCAATGAAAATAAATCTGAGAACATTTCAACAAAGGAGATAATGAATAAGTTAGAAAAGACATCTAAGGAAAACCCCAACTTTTTCTTAAATTTCGAAATGAAAAATAATAATTTCAATACTTCTGCACAACCAAACGTTCAAACAAACAAAATTTCTAGGGGACATTCGAAAGTGACAAATGAATCACACGGTGAAACTTCTGATGTCCAACATCCTTAGGATTTTAAGTGAATTCTTGTATTTATATAGCTTTACATTCGCTGAAGTTAACAGAACCATGTATTAATTATATATATATATGTAATCTAAAAATGTTCATATTTTACTTTAATGTAATATTTTTAATCTCAAATTTTTGCACTACTTAGATTTTCAAAACGAAAAAAAATTAGGATTATAAACCTATCATCATCAGTTAATTAGAATAGCACGAACATAAACATGTCTTTAACAGCAGATTCGTTTAAAGAGTTAATCCAAGAAAAACTTCAAGCTAGCTCAGTTCAAGTGGAAGATATGTCTGGTGGCTGTGGTCAAGCCTTTGCTGTCATTATTGTATCTCCAAACTTTGAAGGGAAGAATAAGTTAATGAGACATAGGTTGGTAAATAATGCTTTAAAAGAGGAAATAGCTTCCATACATGCGTTTACACAGAAAGCATTTACACCCCAAGAATGGGCAGCACAAGGTGAAAAATAGTAAATTAAAAATAACCTCACGAATAAGAACGACTTCTCGCTACATTCATTTACGAATTCATCAGTCATCATCATAAACCTATAATAATTATTCAAAAAATCTCAACTTTTATCTAGAGCCTTTCGAAGATGAGGGATAACTACTAGCTACTAATTAATATACATTATTCATTCCTTATATATCTAAAGTCTATTCGTATTATATCTAGGCCCGTATTGTTTCATCATTCCTAACCATATAAAACAAAGCAAAGCAAATATACTCAGAACAATGCAGGGCAAAAGTGTCAACCCTAAGGTACTCGATTCCGCTATAATACCAATCAAAAATGGAAGTACAGCAGCACCTCCACCACCAAATGCACAAATAAAACCAATACCTGCAGCATGATACTTGTGAGGTAAGATTTTCAACGAAGCAACAATGGTTGTCGGAAAAATAGGGCCAACAAATGTACCAGCTAGAAAGACTATAATAAAAAGAATAAAATTAGTAGTCACCCATGATAGTAACCAGAAAGCCAAGAATCCTGCAAAGGAGAAGAACATGTACAGAAAGTTAGCAGTTAGTTCATTTTTAAAGAAATGAGCAGTCGCAAATCCGAGGCCTATACGACCAACAGTTAAGCCTGTCCAAAAACTTGTAGCCATATATGATGAATATTTATATGATAAGTTCTTAATCCTAGTTAAGAATGTTATTAACCATGAACCAAATGCGACTTCACCACCAACGTAAATAAACAAAATAGTTGAAAAGAGCCAAACCAATTTAGATTTCAAAGCCTCTGACAAAGGAACTGAAGAATGATCGTCTTTTTCGTTATTCAACTCATCATTTGTGGTAGAAACCTCCGATTGATTTCTAAATGTATCCATTTCAACTTCATTTTCGTCATCCAACATCTTACCTCTTTTATTTTTCAAAATCATAGCAAACTTATACTTCTTTGCAGTTTCATATCGAAACATTACTATCAAGAACATAGTATTTAGTGCTCCAACACTACTCAAAACCATATAATATTGATTCCATTGCCATGGATTTTTTGTTCTTTCCAACAAGCCTGTAATTACGGGTGGTGAGATCATGCATCCAATGCCATAACAGCCATGGAGTATACCAAGTAGTTGATTTGAATCTGTTAAACATCCCATCCATGTGTTGAGGCTCGCATCTAAACACCCAAATCCAATACCATTCATAATATAGCAAAGAATGAAGATTGCAAATGGCGGCTTAAAAGATATAACTAAGTAAGCACATGTCATACTCACACTACCCAATATGACAACACCTCTTATACCCAAATTCTTATGAGTTATTTCATTTATTAAAGCCATCAAGAAATAACCTAAAACCGAGGCCAAGAAAATGAAGCTAGTTTTAATGTCATCTATTTGATAGTGATCTTGAAATTTGGGAATCAATGTTCCCACAGTTTGTTCAGCCAACCCGAATAAAATAAATACAAGATAACCTGCTATAACTTGGAATTTCAATAATGTGCTATCTCTCCAATTTGTAGAATCGAAGTATAATGTTTCATTTTCATATTCAACTGTGTATCTTTTATTAGAGCTATAAGCCTCCAAGTCGCTTAGATCGACAGGTTTGGTGGAGGACGATCCCTCGAGATTTGCTAAATCTTCAGAATCATTCGGTTCTCTTGTACCAATGAGCAAATTTTCGGATTCTATAGTATCATCTTTAACTTGATCGATATGTTCCATTACTTAGTTATTCCTCTTATCCTTGGATAATATTTCTATTCTTTTCCAATAATCGTATAAATATTTTATCTTAATTTCTGTTTCACATAAAACCACATTTGTTCATCTCTACCCTCTTATGAAAACGATCAAAATCCTTTATCTTCGCTAAAAAAAAGTTTTTTCATTTCCCTTCCTAATCGGGTAGTCTACCCTTAATTTTGCATACTGTGTCTAAAGCACTAATGTTTTCAACAAGGTTTAATCATATTCTCGGTATCGTCAGCTTGCTAATGAGCATAGAATAGTCATAAGCGTAAATAATTTCAAGATTTTTCAAATTCTGGATATTCTATTATTGTATGGAGAATGATTTATCTGCCAAAGTTCTTCAAGAAATAGCGCAAATGGTTTAGTGGTAAAATCCAACGTTGCCATCGTTGGGCCCCCGGTTCGATTCCGGGTTTGCGCATTTTTTTTCGACTTGTCGCAACTTGGCTACCATTTTTTTTCAGTTCACTGCCTATTGCTTTAAACTATCTTGTTCATTTCTATATCATCGTTGAAACAATGTCCAAAAACGCAGTTAAATCCGTTGTCAATGCTAGTATGTATTCCTGTACGACTATATGGTCTGTATGCTCCTCTGATTGGCCCAGTATTAACAATATTCATTAGTTCAAAAGTACTATCCAACTAGGTTGGCAGATAAAACCTGGGACAACACTGGATTATTAGTCGATTCAAGTTCCGACGAAACAAGTTCTGACGGTTTTCGTGTCTTGTTGACCATTGACTTGACCCAAGCGGTAGCAGATGAGGCAATCAAATCTAAATCGAACATAATTATGGCCTATCATCCGTTTATTTTCAAAGGTCTTAAGTCAATAACTCCTCAAGATCCTCAGCAGAAGTCATTGATTAAGCTTATACAAAACAATATTAGTGTTTACTGCCCACATACTGCTGTTGATAGTGCGAAAGGTGGTGTGAACGATTTCCTAGCTGATGGAATTTCCAAAGGATTGAACGAGAAATCTAGAGAAACTATCGAACCTGACCAGAACGAGGAAGATTGTGGCATGGGTAGATTGGTCACGTTAGCTAATCCTGTGTCTTTAGCAGACTTGGTGAAGAATGCTAAAGCTAGTTTAAACTTGCCTTACGTTCAAGTCGCTCCTGCAAGAGGCCAAGATAAAGACCACCAAATAAGTAAAATTGCTATATGTGCTGGATCTGGTGGATCTGTATTCAGAGGTGTGGAGGCTGATTTATTCTACACGGGTGAATTATCCCACCATGAAGCGTTATATTTCACTGAAACTGGATCATCAATCATTGCATGCAACCACTCCAATACTGAAAGAGCATTCTTGTCTGTAATGAAGAAACAATTAGAAGAAGAATTGTCAAATGCTGAAGTTATTATCAGTAAGGCTGATAAAGACCCTTACGAAACTTGGTAGTAGTTTTAGTTACGTATATACCACTTCAATATTGCACGTGATTGAATCTCATAGATCTAATCTTATCATATTCTTACTGTAGACCTTACAGATTTATACCACTATCATATACTTAATAATTTACAAGTTGCCTTTAAGAAGCATACAGGAGTTTTCTTTCGAACATCGAAAGTCAATAATTGCATAAAATTTTGATAACTTTAATCGACCATGCTGCAAATATGGCATAACCATCGAACAACTGCCCCGCCAAAACGACCAGATGCATTGACAATCTACGAAATAGATGGAAATATACCACTTCATAATACAAGAGCCACCATTGTACCTTGCATAGATACGGATTATGTATTTTTATTTGGTGGTTTTGATGAATTGGATAATCTAGATAGCAACGTCTATCTCTTGAACATGGTAACCAAAAGCTGGGTGATAGATGATAAGCACATGGGTCTATATCGAGAAGGACATCTGGCAGTATATATAGGACAGGGTAATGTGCTAGTATTTGGCGGTATTCCTGATGAAATTCCTTATTCAATGCAAAATATTTCTGGATCAACAGACTCAACAGTCAGAAAAGATAGCTTGATGATGATATATAATGTGCACGACAAAAAATGGATAGGTCCACCAGGTTTTGCATTAAATAATGCTCCATCTTCTAGGTACCGTCATGCTTGTTGCTTATCGCCAGATTGTTCTAAGGTTTATATTAGTGGTGGAATGGTTGATTCTACACCATTAGACGATTTGTACTGCTATGACCTAGTTTCTGGAGTTTGGAATGGACCGATAAAGTTCGTTTCAAGATTTGATCATTATATTAAAGTCTATGAGGATAAGATATTTTCATTTGGTGGATTGGACAAAGATATGAATCATGTAGTTGACTGCATGACTTACATTTCGTTGAGCGACCAAAGTATTGGAGAGGTTTCCTTATTGCTGAAACCTGTATTCAAGGAGTATCATGAAGAAACAAATGACTTGAAACTTATAAATGAATATCCTTATACACAAAGTGAGTGCTCCAAATATGAAAGAACCTATGTAAGCTCGCCATCCTTTCCTACAACAGAAATTGAAATTTGCTTGCCACTGGCTGATTCATACAGGGACTATAATGTATCGTATTATGATCTAGCAGATTTTCAGCATATTCCTTTAATTAATCGAGAAAATATAGAACTTATCTTGGGACTGAAGAATGAAAATTTAAGCACATACTTATGGAAGCAGGCATTTGTAACAGGCCTGGATTCCTTATTTCTATTGGGACTGGTGGTTGAATCATTTGTCAGTCATGAAGGATCAGAAAACATTTTGGATGAAGAAAACAATGATGCAGATGTAATGGGAAGTCTAAGTGAAAGGGATGATGATGAACTGGTACAAGAACAAGATAGTGAAAACAATCACGAGCATGATTATGATCAAGGTCAAGATGATGTTACAAAGCTTCATCTTCTTGAAATAAAATTGTCCGATTTGGGTATTCCAAAACCCGATAAGAGCCTCCCATCTATATCTGATGATTTCCTAAATTTACTTGTTAATGAAGAGTTTACTGATTTTGAAATTGTCACCTTCAGAGACGAAAGGATCATGGAGGAGTATAATAAATTTCCAGATAAGTATACTGACGTAATTGATAAATCAATGACGAGCCAAGCAATATTGGGTGATGTTTTACGGAGTATTAAGGTTCACAAGTCTATTCTACTAGCTAGATGGAAACATTTCAGAAGGCTCATAAATAGCGGTATGAATGAAGCAATATCAAATAAAATGTTTATTCCTGAACCTTATTCTTGGGTGAGGGGCCTTGTGTTTTATTTGTATACTGACAAAATAGATTCAAGAGAATTCGAATTTCCACAAGGTACATTAGTTGATTATTCTGGTGTACTTATTTTATCTAATTTGTACGAAATACCACAGTTGAGAATCAAATTATTGTCTTCTTTGTACAAGAAGTTGAGTAATTTTGTGATTGAAGAAGGTTCTAATGATTTAGATATTGTATTAAGCACTATTTTGAAAATTTGGATGAATGGTTTAATATCAAATGAAGATCTTTTGGTTGCTAAAATTGTAGAAATTATACGGACTAGCTGGTTGATATTCATTAAATCTAAACCATTTATGGATTTACCGAAGTCCCTAATTATCAAACTATGTCAAGATTGTGCCGATATTTTTCCTAATCAGAATACGATAACAAATAGCAACAAGCAAAGCATAGATACATTATCCCACGCTTTTTCTAAAGATAGAGAGTCTGATGATTCCATTGATAAGCTAGATCCAGATTCAGCGTTTGGAACTCCAACAAGTGGAATTACTCGTGAACTTCATTCTAATTCGCCATTTCTTAAAGCAGCAAATGAAGCTTCTCCTCTGAAAGCGCCTCAAAATGCAAATGATGTTACAGCCTTTCCAACTCTACAATTCCTTTCAAATGTTCTCAATAATAAGTTAGAGGACTAATTGATAGTGTTTATGCATTATTCATTATATTTGTTGCAATAACTTTAAGCCTACATTAGTTAATATAAATTGTCATTGTATATTATTCAAGTTTATGTAGTTAAAACATCTTCAGATATAGGTCAACCTATTTATTATCCGCTTTCTTGTCATTCCCAATAGCTTTATGAATCCAATCATCCACTTTCTCTATGGTATCTTCTATTGATTCACCAATCTTATCCTGAATATCTTCGAGCTTATCATCTATTTCCTCCCATAAATCATGATGAGTTTCTTCGTGAGCCTTTGTTGGTTCTGAATCAAAAAGATCAGTAGGCTTTGGAATCATTTCAATATCCATTGAAGATAACAGAGATTCCTCAGAAACTAATGACTCGTACGGATGCAAATTAGTACTAATCGAAATTGTTGTAGGCTCTTCTCTATTTGGCTTTTTCCACAAGAGATCATACGTAGCGTCCTCAACAACATGATGATCGACTTCAAACGGCAAGTTTGGATATTGTAGTTCATCAGTCCAATCATAGGGTAATAAATTCGAAGTGGACAACAATGTACTCACAGAGTCTGTTGGAAAGGTACCATTATTAGGGGCAGGTGTTATGTCCAATGTATCACAAATTAAATTATATACTTCAGTATTAGGGAACGGTTTTATTTTATTGTTGTAATGAGATTCTGGTAACTTTTCACGGAAATATGGACCTCTACCCAAAAACAAGGCTCTCATTAATAACTCAGTGTTATTATATCCATGTACACCTTTTGGCCTATAATCAAAATTTTTGTCTTCCATTTGTTTCTTTGTAGTGACAACATAACCAACATCCGGAATTATCCATATTGGAGCTAATCTATAATTGAATTTATGTTCAAATTCTTTTCCACCAAATTGCCATTCTTTTGGCATCCCTTCAGTTCTAAGTATACTATAATGATCTCTTAATTCAGGATCGATCTTTTCAATATTCTTCATTATCTCATTTTGAATATCGTCTGTAGAATATTCGGGTGATGGTCGTAAACCAAAAAGTGGCCATCCGTCCACATGTTCGACCATTTTTAAGTCAACCACATCATCTAAATAAATTAGTCTATTATTGGATGTTGGTGCCATGCCATGGTCACTAACTATAATCAAATTCACGATGTCATTTAAATTTCTTTTCTTCAACTCCATTTGCATCAAGTCCACGAAGTCATCAACATATGTCAATGCATTCTTAAGATCCGTACCATTAATTCCAAACTTATGACCAAATTGATCAATAGTCGGTACATAAGCTAAAATTAATTCAGGTCTCATTTCAATTTCTTCCTTATCTAACCAATTCATGACACGATAAACTTTTGAAGATAAAACTTCCGAGGCATTATATCTATCGACTTCTAATGGGCCGCCTCCAATACCTACCCCATTTACCTCACTTCCTGGCCACATGTGTATTGCGGAATTTACTCCCTGTTTAAATGCTGTTGACCATATAGGCTCACCACCTTGCCAAAAATCT